ATGTACCTGCACTAGTTCATGGGCGATTTACTTCCCTCCCTACACCGCTATTTGCACGTGACTCAGCCAATTTCTATACATCTTCTCTCGCAACCTCCTCGCACGGTTGTATGACTACCATATGTCTCTGTTACTGGCAGCTAGACTTTTGTCCCAGCAGACCAGTGTAGCCACACAAATGCCATAAAATTCACCAAGTCGTTCATATGATCGGCAACAGGTCCATCCTTCCAGTTGAACTTTGCGTACATTTGTGTGCCCTCTTTGCCAATTCTGCAAAAAATAAATTGCATATGGAAAGCCCGCAAATCTCAACTCAAAAAATACTAAACTAATTGCGATTATATTTATTACTGTGGATTAATGTTAAAGCTGTCGGCCAAATTTAATTTTGGCTCATGTTAGTCAAGAATAACTTATATTACATGACGATAACATCGAACTTTCTTTTAACGGCTTTTCTTGTGCAAAATACACATATCATTACAATTACAATTTTTATTTGAAACATTTTCCGATGTGGTAAACATTTAATGAAAGCTAAAGTCAGTTAAATATTTCGTAATTACTCCCAACTTTCCAAAATTATTATAATAGTGGTTACGGTACTGAAGTCCGACGTTTTAATGACGCTGCGCCACATATAAAGACATTTATATATAAGTTAGGGGTCCGCAGTGACCGCGCGGTCTGAGGCGTGGGCCTTCTGTCGCTTGGACCGTGGGTTCGAATCCCACTCAAGCCATGGGTGTCTGTCCTGTGTACAGGTAGTGGCCTTGCGACATGCCGATCCCTCGCCCAAGGAGTTCTACCGAATGTCCATGGATCAAGCCAACGAAAAGTTGGGACCCGCAGTGCTCAGGCACTTGAAGAACGGGTCGTTCCCAGTATCCCCAGTATATATATAAGTTTGTGAAAGGGGCACTGGCACTGTATAATCAAAGAAAGTGGCAAAATTTAAAATTAAACAGTGCAATTAATTTCCCTATATTTCACAAGGATTAGGTAAGATGTGAAAGCGGAGAACTGCACTCAAATATTGTGAATGTCTCATTAGATTTCAAATGATAAACAAACAACTCAATTAAAAGAGGCATTTTGTATAAATAAGAGACATTCGCGTTTTATTTAGTGCACAGTATAAAAGACAGTTACATTTGAAAAAATTTTTTCACACACTGAAGCCAAATATTTTAAATTTAAATTTGCAATCATCGAGTTGTTTTCTTTTTAAACTGTGGGTCGGGGATAATGTGGACATGCCGACGAGCTGCATCGCATCAGTCAGTAACGAAAATGTAAACATCACTCGCAGGGGGGAGGGTGTCAGCGGACGAGCCCGTGAAACCAAATTCTAAGCCTAGACCACATGATCTTAGAATCTTAGAGAACCATGCGGTCACTGGGATTAGTTGAAATAACCTACTTTTGTAATTGCCAATCAATGGGTAATAATAGTAGTAGTATCATAAGCACTCCTGTTTCGTGACGTTTCTTTCGAGTATGCTGAAGAACATAAATTCCTCTCAGACCAATACGAAACAAACTACATAGAAATACTGTGAATATTTCAATCAAACATTACATGAACACAGTCTGGTAATTAACCAACCGCTTGGTTAGAAATAAGATACGTTGGTAGTGGTGCTAGCACATCCACAATGCACTACAGTCAGCGTACTCTACCGGACTCTAGTGACAAACTATTAAACCAACAGCTCTTTTATGCCTATGGTCACGCACGCAATTTACTTACTTTTCCCAACGCATTCCATTTAAAAGATATGATATGCAATTCCGATCAGTAATTTCCAAACTCTAATTTCTTATGAACACACAAATACAC